TTTTTTTTTTTAAGTTCAATGTTTGAGCTAGTGCTAATTGATGTATTATGGGTGTAAGGGCACATGAGGAAACACCACGCATGCTATATCATGAAAACGATTATTGATTAGGAGAAAATTTTGGTTTATGCGTAGAATACGGTTAATCGTCGCCGCATAAATTATCCCTAGGGTGACAGACGAAAATTGTGAGGAAAATATTCGTGCATTGGTGTCAAAATCAGAAGAATCCATCATTTAGCTCATTGGTCATTCAAATTACCCCACCAAAAACCAACCACCATTGCTGACCAGGGAAAATAGATAATGGACTGACATAGATGATAGAAACTATTCTTTCACTAAAATTTGTGAAAAAAAAAAGGCAGCATATACGCATAATCCATAATGCTCATTGCCCTCGCTACATACAGATTCAAACTTTTTCTTTCCAAGTGAGACATATAGAACACATAAAGAGAAAAAATAATCTCGTTCTTCCTCTCTCACTCTCTCTCTCTCTCTCTCTCACACACACACGAGCGCACAAAAAAATGAGCTGCTACTGTTTTTATCTTTTTGTGAGACAAATGGTGGTGGAGATGCTAGTGATAGTGGCTCATAATTCAAGAGCTACAATAACAAGGAAAAACATTTTAAAAGGAAAACCCACTATCACCAAGCTTACTGTCGCCAACTTTTTGTAAGGCCAGCACGGCCATATATTCAATCCAGCCACTGTTACCAAGTCAAATATCTTACAAAAAAGATGAAATCATGATTCAGGTTTTTACCTGAAGCTACACGACGCCGTACGCTTTGAAGATCAGCCACCCAATTGCGTGTTTGTTAATTTGAATCTGGCGGAAAATAGGGTTTTCGGAAATCGATTGTTTGAAATAAAATTGCACCAAACGAGAATATATTAGTTCTGGCTGCCAATTAGGAGGTAGTATGATGCAGGCGGCGCGGCGGAGGCCGACGGTGGTGCTGAGCTGGCTAGTGAATAGAATATGGGGCTAAAAACAAGTTGGGTGGCCACCAGTATGCGGCATATCCCAAACCGGCCGGCAGGGAAGGCGAAAAACAGATAGTAAGACCCCAAAAAAAAAATTACATAAATAAAAAATAAAAAACTAATCCAAAAACAATTTAAGTTTTGTAATAATTAATAAATGGGGAAATTCCATTTGACGGTTTCCTCCTAGATCTGGAGTGAACCAGTTGAAATGAGCTCCGATATGTTCGAACAGCCTCTGAATCGTCTCAAACACCTGCAAAAACTCAACGCCGAAAGTGTTTCTCGCGTAGAGCCTCCGACGCTCAAGTCAATATTCAAAAGAGATGGAAGTGCTCTGGTGGAGGAGGAGGAAGAGCAGCAGAAAAATAAAAAATGAATAGAGAGTGTAAAAGTTAGGGTTTGGGGTTACGTCAATTCCTTTTATAGAGAAAATACCTGTCTTGAAGTATCCAGAAGAGAAAATAACTATTTTCACCCCATTTTGAAGTTCTGCTAAGTTTCTCACACCGCCCAATAAAAAGTTAAGTTTTTTACCCCAAAAAGTACGAAGAGATATGCGAAAAACTATACGATGGATAGACAACCGGTATGAGCATGGGCGAGAAAATTATGAGTTAAAGTATGCGATTGGTCTGCGACGAATATGCGGAGATTCGATATACAATTCGGTCAATCGCATTCCGTCGCCCATTAAATAATTATTTTTGATAGTCGAAAAAATTATTCTGCGACATACCAATGTCGCATATTATTCGCAGAATTGGTCCATAATAAGGTTTTGTTCGTATTTCTTTCATCTTTCAATTATGCGAGAGGGTATGCGAATTGTCGCATATTGCTACACCCTTCGCACTTCTACTCGAAAGTGTATTTTTTATTTATTTTTTATTTCTTTCATCTTTCAGTTATTTCAGTTATGGGATGGGGTATGCGAATTGCCGCATATTGCTCGCATACCACCTTCGCACTTCTACTCGAAAGTTTATTTTTTATTTCTTTCATCTTTCAGTTATTTCAGTTATGCGATGGGGTATGAGAATTACCGTATATTGTTCGCATACTCTCTTCGCGCTTCTACTCGAAAGTTTATTTCATCTTTCATCGTTTAATTTTAGTTTTATTTTTTCTTTCAGGTATGAGAAATGCCACATACATACAACTATCAGTCGAAAAAATTATTCTGCGACACAACTGCAACATATATTATTCGCAGAGTTGGTGCAAAATAATTTTAATAAAATTTATTTTTTGAAACCGCTGACAGTTGGAACGGCATAATACTTTTAAAATTTATATTTTTGAATGGTTTAGAAACCGCTGGCAGTTGGAACGTTACGGCCGATTTCGAGGCGTCTTATCCGCTTTTTGAAACGCCTGGACAGTAAAAGCGTGCACGTGAATCGTTTCATCTGTCTACATAAAGCGTGTACTCTTTGATCCATATCATGCCACTTCTCTTTCTACCCATCCGTCCCCCAGAACTCTTTGTTAATGGCCCTCCGTTTTTTCCTTTTCTTGTATATGAGAAGCAGTTCGCCGGAGATAAACCAGAATTACAAAAAAAAAAAATTTCGACCCGTGAGGCAATTCTTTAAGATTACTGTGTCTGAATTGAGAACTCTTAACCTTCCAAATTCGTCGGAGGAAAAAATTCAACGAGCGAAAATTCCGCTATCCAACTTTATTGACGTGGCCCCCGCAGAAAACATATATGCCGAGACAGCGACGATGAAGATCAAATCTCCAGGCCCGGGTATTGCCGGATCAACTGTGAGAAGGTTGAAGGTCGGAACAACGCGCGTCGACGGCCGGGCCGTAACGGCCCGGCCCTCTGTCAGAGGCATTGCTGGCCTCAACCTCTCGAGGTTGTGGTCGGTCAAGTTTTCCTGACAGAGGAAGGTGTTTGGTCGACGGGGATCTCTTCCCGGAACCCGTCAGAGCCCATCGGTACAGAGCGTGGTGGTCGGTGCCGATCTCATGCTGGAGTTCTACCTGGAACTCCACAAACAAGCTCCACCTACAACTCCTCTTTCTGGAGTCTGACTGTTGTGGTAGCTCGTCGACTCCCTCGTCCTAGCTTTTGTTAGGCTGGTCCTTCGGTTTTTTTTTTTTTAACTTTGTAATCGGTTGGGGTTGAAGCGACTGTAAAAGCAGTAGTATAGGGATTTCTGTTCGATCTTTTATTCTGCGAAATACAAATGTCGCATATTATTCGCCTAGTTGGTGCATAATTAGAAAAAAAAAAATATTTTTGGAAATTTTCTATTCTGCGACACAACATTGCGAAACACTCGTATAGTATAAATGAAGAATAATTTTTTTAATTTCTTTTTGGAAATTTTCTATTCTGCGAAATACAAACGTCGCGTATTATTCGCCTAGTTGTTGCAAAATAATTTTTTTTTTTTTAGAATTTAATTGTTTGAAAATTCGTGTTTAGGTGAAATGAACTTGAGACTATTAGTCGAAAATATTATGCACAACAAACACATAACACTATTAGTATAATCGAGGAATAATTTTTTTAAAAAAAAAAATGTTTTTGAAATTTTCTATTCTGCGAAATACAAATGTCGCATATTATTCGCGTAGTTAGTGCATAATAAGTTTTTTTTCGTAGAATTTAACTTTTGGAAAACTCAACAGTTTAGGGTAATGAACCTGCGACAATTAGTCGAAACAATTCTGCATACAAACCGCACAACATTCGTAGTAAAATCGAAGAATTTATTTAAACAAAAATTGTTTTTGGATTTTTTTATTCTGCTACACACATAATTGCGACAAATAAACGTCGCATAATTCATTCGCAGTTCAACCACAGGATATTCGCATACCCACTTTTTGTGTAAAACAATTATTATTAAACAATTATTTAAAATATTTTGTGTTCGATGGTCTGATAAATGCGATTCTTTATGCGACCGTCTCACGACGGATATGCATTTATTCGCAGGTCTACCGCAGGGTATTAAACTGCGAAAGAGATACGGAAACTAAACCATTAAATTATTTTGTTTATTAAAAATGCATCGAATGGCGCTTGTTACGCAAATATTACTCGACAGCTATTTTTTCGCATATTTTGTCGTATAGTTTATTATTTAAAACAAAAAGAAAAAAAGAAATCAAAACGTCGCATATACGCTACTATAGCAGTTGCACCTCTCAGGAGAAGAAAATAAAAAAGAAAGGGGCGAAAAATTTGAAATTCCATCTTCCTTCTTGCGACATTAATTCGCATAGTTAGAAGCAAAAGAACTGTTAGAAATTAAAAGAAAAAAAAGAACCAAAAATGATGAACGAGAACGACGTCATGGCCTTCTCAAGAGATTCTGAAGATTTCACGTATCAAGTTTTTCTCGTGGCGGCCGGCCAAGCGGGTGCCCTAACAGCGGCTACTGCCGCTGATGACTCAACGGCTGCCGTAACGGGTATGGCGAGCCGCGACTCAGCGACTGAAGGCACGGGTTCGGAGGCCATCTCAATTGGAGAGGTAACTTCCATTTGTTGCAATTATTTAATTTAAGTTATTTAATTTCATCTGCTTTAATAGTTGAGAAATAATTGTTTTTATTTGATAATGTATAAGTAATTTGATTTGAATAATTAACAACAACAACAACAACAACAATGCGATTGTTTAGGATTTGTTGTCGTACAAGAGACCGAAATCGATCGGTAATTATGAGGGCTGAAGATCAATATTTACAGCCGGCAGTGGATATGTTCTAATATCAAGAACGACTTGGGCCTCATTGAAGGGGCCTTAACTGCTTTCCAGGGCTCGGTGTTTGGTCCGTTTCTCCAGTTTGATGATAAGGCTAATGTCTCTGCAAAGTCAATGCATGGGGTTCTTTTGCGCGAGGTGACTCGTGTCGGTCAGAACCTGAACGAGATGTGGTTCCGTATTGGTAA